AGATTAAGAATGGGGAAGGTGGCTATGAAAGAACTAGAAAAGATCCTACAATGCAGAGACATACAACTCAGCACAAAAGTCTGAATCATACAAGCCATTGTATTCCCTATTCCCATGGATGGATGTGAGAGCTGGACAGTCAAGAAAGAAGATAGGAGGAAAATCAATGCATTTGAGATAATGTGATGTTGAAAAAGAGTGCTGAAGATCCCATGGACAGCCAAAAGGACAAAGCAATGGGTCCTAGAAGAGATCAAGCCAGAGATATTCCTAGGAGCCAAGATGATAAGACTTAGACTGTGGTACTTTGGACACATCATGAGAAGTCATGAATATTTGGAAAATACAATAATGTTAGGAAAGGTGGAAGGAAATAGAAAGAGAGGAAGGCCACATGCTAGATGGATGGACTTTATTAAAGAGATAATGAATATGAGTTTTCAGGAGCTGGGCCGAAGATGGGGGGGGCTGGAGATATCTCATCCATAGGGTTGCCATGGGTCGAGATTGATGCAAAGACAGTTAACAACAAGCCCCCTCACTGTCTGGCTTACTTCTGAGTAAAGAAATTAGACTTGAATCCTGTTAGTATCATATAGCTGTAAGACATTCCCTTGTGCATATGGTTTCATATTTTTGGACATTGTGCAATGGATGTATTCAGTTCATGCTGTATAAATGGAGTTCCACAAGAGCAATTAGCTTGAATGGCCATAAATTAGTCCAACTAGAGGAGAGCCATTGAATCAATTGGGTTTACTTATGTGTGGACACCATTCAATGAGCGATTGAATTGATCTACTATGGTTGGGGCTAACTCACTTGATTCTAGGAGTGCAGCTACGCAATCTTAGGTGGTGTGCAATTATTCATCATGTCTTCACTACCGGGAACCTTTTTACACCACACGATTATACTAGACTCACACTATGATTTTACTTTAATTGGTGTGGTTCTGTCTGTGAAATCCCAGGATTTGCAGTTTAGGGAGAGGTATTTAGAATACTTTGCCAGAGAGCTCTAGTGCGTTAACAAACTATCAGTCCCAGGATTCTGTAGGTACAACCATGGCATTTAAAGTGGAAGCATAGTGATATAATTGTGTAATATAAAAGGAGTCCAGGTAAACAGTCCTTTTTCTGGGCATTTGGGGATACTTGATATTAATATTTGTTGTACTAAATTTTGATTGTCTGCAGCATTTTTTCCCTGGGCTTCTCATGGATGATGATGATGATGATGACTTTGATTTTGGTTAGCTTCAGCAGATGGAATTTTAAATAAGGACATGAGATATCAGGGACCTTTTCACACTATAATTATAGTACTATGGTTCCACTTTAACTGCCATGACTGTTCTGTGAAATCCTGGAATCTGCAGTTTGGTGAGGCACTACACCTCTATGGTTGAGAATTTTAAATATTCTTCCCAAAACTGCAAATCCTAGGATTCCATAAGAAGTTGCTATGGCAGTTAAAGTGGAATCATAGCACTATAGTATGAAAGGGTTCTTGGGCTTGATCAGAACAAAGTTCCATTCATTGTGGCATCTTGTTTCCTACAATGGCCAAGCATGCCATAAATTAAATGATAAAAAATTCTTGAAGATGTACCTAGTCTGTGATTTGTATGTGTGTGTGCGTGTTATGTATTCACTCACAAAGGGTTTAAAACATGAGCTCCATTCAAATGGTCTGCAGAAAAGTTAGGAAATAGGCAAGAATATCCATGGACTTAAACTGGATTTATTTTTTCTGATGACTGAGATGGAGACCATTTTGACTAGGGTCATATTATTCAATAAGCTAACAAGATTCATAACAGAGCACTGTTTTTGTGGTGTGTGCCTTCAAGTTATTTCCAACTTACGGTGACCCTAAGGCAAACCTATCATAGGGTTTTCTTGGCAATTTTCTTCAGAGAGGGGTTTGCCATTGCCATCTTCTGAGGCTGAGAGACTGTGACTTGCCCAAGATCACCCAGAGAGTTTCTATGGCCAAGCAGGGATTCGAACCCTGGTCTCCAGAATCATAGTCCCACGTTCAAACCACTACACTATGTGACTCTCACTTTTTTTTTTAACTCTTGGAAAATTACAAAGTGCTTGTGACCTGCGATTTCATACCGTGGGACTGATTTTGATGGTGATACCAGTGTTGAAGACATTTTTTTTTTGAAAAAA